GCCCTGATGGAATTAAGCGAAGACAAGAGGTCTGCAGGTGCAAACAGTCATTAAAATTTCTTTTTGCATACAGTTAGTTCTTCTGTCTATTAAAAAAAAAGGCTTTTTTAATATAAACCTGCCCACAATTCAGGCTTCGGCCTGCGACGGGAAAGCGAAATTAAACATTTAAAAATCATCAAGAAACAAGGAATTCTACATACATGACAAAAAGACCATTTAAAAAAAATAATGTTTGCACTTCAAGGCAGCTATTTTATCTGGAGCTGAGTTTATTCTTAACAAAATTAGTACCTACAGTTGTTTAGTTGTTGGGCGAACAAGAACAAATAGTTTCAAGATTTCTCATCCAGCATGAATGATTCGACATTCTTGTTTGAAGGATTGGAAGCTTGTGACCATTACAATGTACTAAGAAACCCAGATAGAGTAGGCATTTTCTAATTCGAGATTTTTAATCGTTCGTGTCTTACTTAAGACACCGGTAAGATAATCGGAAGATTAAGTCGGAAGAATTGGGGGACTGGCGCGGTTCTAGAGCCAATATTTTGGGGGGCTAGCAGGGTGGATCCAGAATTTTTTTCAGGGAGGCGTGCTGAAATGTAGACCGGTTATTTTCACCAGACACCTAGGCCTCCGTAAATCAATAGGTGGGGGTAGGGTGGGGGAAGGGGCTCGTGCCTTATTCAATAGGGAGCGCTGATAAAATACTACAATCAGGCACACTACAGGGTGGATCAAAAATGAAACTGAGATATTATTGCTAATTGGAACAAAAGTAGGCCACATGTGAATCAAAGGGAGATATCCTCCGTTAGGGTTAAATATCCTCTTTTTAATATCCTCAATTTAAGGTTGATTGTTAATCAGAGTGGCATCAAAGACAAACATAAAACGAAAAAATGACGTTTTTTGTGGTTCCTTCAGTAGGCACTTTCGAAGCATTTGTCTTAAAATTTTGAGGAGTTTTAAGAGTGTTTTTATTTAAAAGTGTTGTCTCCTAATCTATTATTGTCATTTTCTCAATGTAAATGCACGTCACAACCAGTTAGAATTACACTTGCTATCGTCCATAAAAGGTATTAATTTCTGAAAAGTCCCATTGGTCCGAAGTCGGGTTGTAGGTGACATTGTAGCAGTTGTGGTTTTTGTGGTGTCTTTTGTCACAGAGTGAAAGGCTATGGTTGCCAATCAAGGCAGGTGGGGAAAAAAGTGATTTCACCATGAAAAGTGGCGCAAGCCTCTAAATAGACCCTTGCACAAAATTGGTAACTGCTTAGTCAACCGTGAATGTAAGCACACAATTAGGGTGTCATTTTAAAGAGGATATTTAACCCTAAAGGAGGATATCTCCCTTTGATTCACATGTGCCCAACTTCTGTTCCAATTTGCAATAATTTTTCATTTTTGTATCCACCCTGTAGTGTGCCTGATTGTAGGATTTTATCCGCGCTCCCTATTGAATAAGGCACGAGCCCCCCCCCCCCCCCCCCCAACCTATTGAAATTCGGAGGCCTAAGTGTCCGGTGAAAATTATCGGTCTACATTTCAGCACGCCTCCCTGAAACAAATTCTGGATCCACCCTGCTAGCCCCCAAAAAATATTGGCTCTAGAACCGCGCCTGGTCCAGTCCCGAAAGTAAGACACGAACGATTACCAATCTCGAATTAGAAAATGCGTACTGTATCTGGGTTTCTTAGTACATTGTAATGGTCAAAGGCTTCCAATCTTGCAAACAAGAATGTCGAATCATTCAAGCTGGATGAGAAATCTTGAAACTATTTGTTCTTGTATGCAAAACAACTAAACAACTGTAGGTTCTAATAATGTTAAGAACATACTCAGCTCCAGAGAAATAGCTGCCTTGAGGTGCAAACATTGTTTTTTTTTAAATGGATTTTTTTTGGTCATGTATGAAAAATCCTTGTTTCTTGATTGTTTTTAAAAAAAATTTATTTCACTCTCCCGTCGCAGGCCGAAGGCTAAATTGTGGGCAGGTTTATATTAAAAAAAAATATTTAAAAGAAATAGACAGAGGAACTAACTGAATGCATAACAATACAAAAAAAATTAAATGACTGTTTGCACCTGCAAACAGTCGACTAGCTGTTTCCCATTAAACCCTATTTCCAGTTTTCATTGTGCCATTAATAAGGGCATTTTTGTAAGCCAACACTCTCCGTGGGGGACAGTGCAACTGTTATATAGAGAGAATGACACGACAAGGCGATGTACAGGTGGCATTTTTTTCCTATTGTCTTCGCTTAATTCCATCAGGACGCGATCAGTTAAGAATTCCAACTCCTCTTCCTGATAACTTATGGACAAGAAAAGCAAATAGACCTATTGTTTTTAATTTTTAAATAAGATGCTCTCTTCATGTTCTTGTAAACTGATGTGTTGCCTGCTGAAAACGTGTGTGCAAAAATGGGCACTTATTACTTCCAGCCATCTGGAAGTACTCGGTAATAGAATAGTCTGAACATTCCAGGGAAACTGAGGCAACACAAACTCTAACGTTCATGTATTGTGTATTTAAGTGTATTTCATTTCCCAATTGACATATGGTTAATTTGGCTTGTACGTCAATAGCTTTCTCGTATTCGTTACCGATATGGCAAGTTATTTATGTTGTTTTTTTATGTTTTTATTTGAACAAGTTTGAGCAAAATTTTAAACAAATATAATACCAGTTAGTATCAATTTAAAGTTACAAAACCAATAAATAATGACTGTTGTTTTTCCCCCTGTCGTTACAGAGTGAAATGATGCAGCAATAATATGGGCGTTGGGTAGTAAGTGTAGCTGTCAATCACACTAATCCTGTAATCACTCAGACCGTTAATATGTGGTTTTCACACCTTCAGTGGAGGGAAGCTGGACCTGCTATACAGTTATGAATAACAATAGACCCTTGGACCTCCGGAAGACCCATGTAAAAATACCGTGAAACTGCAGTGAGTTTATCCCCTGCTGAGGGGCCCAGTTTGGCACCGTGAGAATGAGCTTACTTGGCAGTGTAAAAAAGTTTCACGGCGACTTCATTGTAAACTATATTTTCACGGTGTTGAAATTCATATTGTAGGTCAATTAAACAGACTGCAATGAAAAGACTTCCAGTGAATAGTCCTAGCCATTGTGAATCAATTGAACAGACTACATGTATTAAAAGACTTCCAGTGAATAGTCCTAGCCATTGTGAATCATTCAACAGACTACATGTATGAAAAGACTTCCAGTGAATAGTCCTAGCCATTGTGAATCAATTCAACAGACGTACGTACTACATGTATGCAAAGACTTACAGTAAATAGTCCTAACCATTGTGAGTCAATTAAAGTGACTACAATGAACAGACTTCCAGTGAATAGTCCTAGCCATTGTGAATCAATTGAACAGACTACATGCATGAAAAGACTTCCAGTGGATAGTCCTAGCCATTGTGAATCGATTCAACAGACTACATGCATGAAAAGACTTCCAGTGAACAGTCCTAGCCATTGTGAATCAATTCAACAGACTACATGCATGAAAAGACTTCCATAGTCCAAGCCTTTGTGAATCATTTAAAACAGAGCATGGAGGAATAAGAATTCCTCCATGAACAGACTACATGCATGCAAAGACTTCCAGTGAATAGTCCTAGCCATTGTGAATAATTAAACAGAATTGTGCACACTCTGGGACCAGCTTACCAGGTTTGCCTTGTCTGGTTGGGGGTTTCCCTTTGGTAACAGCTACACATCGCAACATTGTATCGATACACTTCAAATAAAGCGGGCTTATTCAATGGAAGTTATGGACTTATTTCTTAGTGAAAAGAATGAGGGGAGGAAAGGCCAAAATTCATTGAACGCTCAGTATGCCGGACCTAGACGCATAATGCCGATCAAATCCAAAAATAAATTTCGTTATTCTGCATTTCGGCGGGATTTTTAAATTGAAAGTAGGCCTCCACTGTAAAAGAAAGTTGGGTTAAACAGTGGTGGGCAACGTTATTTGCCCAACATTGGAATTCATTTGCCTTACTGTATTTTAATTGCATGTGGTAACAAAATTGAACAACTATTGTCAAGAATTTTCCAACTTTGTTTTCAAATGGAACTTCAGACGGCTTTGGTTTCCCCTGTTTTTTGGGATGGGGTAATACGAAACATTGGCTCGATTGATTTACGAAGAACTATTTTAAATTCCAGTGACAAGGAAAATACTTGAATTCGACGTTCGACTTCATCGGAAAAACCTTCTTATTGCTAGAAACCCAGCAATTTCGGCCATCAGCCTTGGTCCAGAATGTTGGCGACCGGTATCAAATGAGGGGAATAATCGTCATAGCGATTTTGGCAAGGTATACGCCTTCGGAGTTGGAAAATATGTGATAGCATTGCAACAGTGGCAGCTTTTTGGGTGTTATCACTTTTTTTTCAAAATGTCCATCAAAATGCTTGTTACCACTCTAGGGGCGGTATACCTTGCGCATGCGCACTATAATCATTTATGCCCTGATTTGATACTGACCAAACCCCCAGGCTGATGCCCTAATTCCAAATACAATTTAAAAGTAGCACTGCAGCAAAGTAGCAAGGAATAGTCATCTTCAGAGTGGAATTGATGACAAAATAAAAATTGGAATTGACCTTTCATTTTTCTATGAGCAATTTCGAAGCGTTTGTCTTGGATTCTTGAGGAGTTTTGTTTGTTAAGTTTTGAACGAATTTATTGGCGAAGCACATATAAGTCTAATTTCTCCAACTATATTACCACTCGGTTTAAACAAATTAATCCTCTCTTATTTCTCAATGTAAATGCACGTGACAACCAGTTACAATAAATGGTCTCGTGAATAAAACTCATTAATCGCTGAAAAAAAATACTGATCAATCATGGTGCAAAGAGAGGATGACGTGATAGGCAGTTTTCAGTGATACAATATATACAGTTCGATTTTTTTTCGTGGGAAATGTGGCTCTGGCCACACCTCCGACTTTCATTTGCCAATCAAAACACTCCACGTGACGCCTGACGCCAATGAAGCGTCATAGATGTCGGGTTTGCATTTTTCCAAACTGGCACCAATCGAGGTTTAATAAGCGATGCCATCTCTTCTCTTAGCCTCACTCTGCAACTGCATTTTGGCGTGTGACACTGAGCGGTGTAGGAAGACTTCTCGTAAACATCATGACTTTCATGCAAGCCTTGTGCTTCGTTCTGTTGGTTGGTTTGGCCGCGGCATTTCAACCAGACTGCCCCAAGTGTCCTCCGATGTGGACTTTCTACAATGGCAACTGCTACCGTTTGTTCGGCACTGGTAAGACCTTCGCTGAAGCTGAGAAGTACTGCCAGCAGTTCGCTCAAGTCGGCCAGGGTCATGTGGCGTCCATAACCAGTGCTGAGGAGAATAATCTGCTCCTCACGATGTGGAAGTCGGCCAGTGAACCCAAAAAAATGGGTGCACTGTGGATCGGCTTTACTGACAAGGCAGGGGAAGGGAACTTCATCTGGACGGATGGATCACCGGTCGGTTTCACAGCATGGAGCGATGGCAAACCCAATTACGGCTCCGGTCAGCCGTGTGCTCACATGCGGTACAATTATGCCGCATGGAATGACGCCCAATGCGACAATGTGTGGCCACACATCTGCAAGATGGCAACTACAGACTAAATTGACCCTACGATGGACAGCCACAGAGATGCGTCAGAACATATTTGCCACATCAACCCTGAAGCTCTTAACAACGATACCAAGTCAACGTCATCGGCTATGATATCACCAAACAGTGAAAAAGAAATCGTTTCAATAAACCCAATTCGCATCTTAGTTGCTTCAACGTTTACGAACCTGCTGCATGCTTTCAAGTTTAACGTTTAGTGTTTAGCTTTGAGCGTTTTATCAGGTGTCCAGTTGAATAGTGAGAAGAATATGGATGAACTAATCTGCCGATGTTCTCAAGCTGCACTACAGGGTAAGTCAAAAAAGCGGAACCCAAACCCCATAAAATATATTTTATATTTAAAAAAATATGTAGCACCAAAAATAATAATGAATGGAGAGACACTTTCATAAGCTACTTTGAGATAAAAAAAAATAAATGCTCAATCCGTTTAAAGAATATCGCCATTTAAACACAGTGACTCTAAAACTTGTCTCGTCCAAAAAGGCAATTCATTGCGTGTTTTGGCTGTTTGGAACAACAAAGAAAATGACACAGAATACTTGTTTCACCAACTGTCACCAACTCTAGTACACAATATCTTCATTAACAACCCCGGTTAGGCAAACAATATGATTTATAAAATCTTCTTTTTCAAAGGACGGGCCTGCAAACGGATTCTGTTTAATATTTTTAACGTTTAAACTGAGATTTTATCGCTGGTGATGTTTGAAGACAATTGAGACGACGATTCTTGAAATCGCATTTTTTGGACGAGATTGGTTTAAGGGTCATTGTATTTAAATGGTGATATTTTCTGAACAGATGGACCAATTTTAGTCATCTTTTCATCTAAAAGTACCTTATGAGATTGGCTTTCCAGTCATTATTGTTTTGGTGCTACATTTTGTTTTTTTAAATGAAGTATAATTTTTGGGGGTTGGGTCCGCTTTTTTGACTCACCCTGTACTATACGCCAATGACATTATTAAGGAAACAACGAACTGGAACGTGTCTCAAATCTACAACAAAGAAATTTTCAATTCAAATCCGATTTCTCACGTTTCTCAACAGAAATAGAAAGCTTGACTTTACTGGATACCTCTTTTTAAACTTTATATAATAATTTACTCTTGATTTTTTCTCTACAACTTCGTTCTTATATATTTATTTGTTTCCGTTTAATTTTCAACTTCTTGTTCATTTGTACGTACTGGTAGAGGGGATTTGTTTCAGTTAATTTTGCCGTCAAAGTACAATAAGAACACTCAAAAGCTCAGATGTTGATGGACTAATGAAAAACTAATTGCATCAGTAAAATAAAACATCCGGATAATTTTACATATCACAGACTAAACTAAGGTTAAGCGGTAGTCAAGAATCGGAAAAGCGGAAATAGTCAGAATCGTTTGGTCTGGGAGCCAGACTACTATGCTGATATTCTTAATGGTGATGTATTGCCCGGGAGCAGAAGCCCAATTGATCGCTTGGCATACTGACTAAACAAAAAGGCATATTCAAATCGGTTCATTCATTTTCTGTTTGTTATAAAACGACAGAGGGCACTCGCTGCTGTCGAATTACTCGTTAGCCAACCTCGATCTCAGAGTCCATTCTTTTTTTATAGTAGACCCTGTGAATATTATTACAACTTTGAGATATACAGCCTGACCTGGGCGTCGCCAGGATATTTTATTGGGGGCAAGGCACATTTTCCTCGAAAATCCTTGTACTTTTTCTAGCATATTACAAATTTATCATTTTTTGCCACCCCACCCCCATTGACACCCCTGCAGACACCCATTTTGTTAAATGTGTATTGTGGCGAAACCGACCCCTGACACCATTTGTGGCGGAACCGGTGATTGGCGGAACCCAGGGGGACTGGTCTTATTTATCCCAGGACTCTAGCCAACTCCTATAATCCCACAAAAATATTTATTAGCCTAACGAACTGGTTAGAGCTACCCATTCGCAAGGGGGGACAATTAACAAACGGCGGACTAAGCCTAGGGGCTGTTCGTTTGGGGGAAATATACCACCGTTTTGTGATTGAGTAATCAATTGAATGTAAACAGAGCACTTATTAATTACAATAACCTTTACAATGATTCAATAATTATCACACAGACAAATGTTTCCAAGGACGATCAATAATTGGTCTTATTCTTCTCTGATCAAATATTCAATTATAATCTTTATAAACACAATCACTCAATTAATAATCCACAGTTGTAATAATTCCTAATGATTTAAACAAGGGTCGACTGCACCCCTGTAAATGATCTTAGCTTACAATAATCCTCACGTGGTCAACTGCACCACTTTAATAATCATAAACTTGTATTCTCTAATTATACGAATAGCTAGTCCAATTACCCTCACACAGAGTGTGACCTCAATTACCCTCACACAGAATTAGTGAACCTCAACCCGGCTCAGTTCAGTGAAAGCAAACTTCAGGAGGACCTCAATTACCCTTACACAGATTTAGAGAACCTCAATTACCCTTACACAGATTTAGTGAATCTCAGTTATCCCTGCACAGATTAAGTGGACCTCAATTACCCTTACACAGATTTAGAGAACCTCAATTATCCTTATATAGAGTGAGTGGACCGTAATTACCCTCACACGGAATAGGTGGGGGATGTCCATACTGGTTCACCACTTTAACTGCCGCCAAACACATCAATTTTCACCTCACCTTGTGATCTCACCCAAGAGGAATCCAGGAAGCTCTGGAAATGCGAAAAACAATTAGGCAAAATGTGTTTTTAGAGCACATTTTGGATGCACACGTCGTGCAAAACTAAGTTGAAGCAGCCGGTCAAAACTGATTGAGTGGCTAAAAGACAGCGGTACGTTATACGCATGACATCGACAACCATGACGTCGCATGAGCCAGCCAATGATGAATATTTATTTTCTCATGAATATTTAGTTTATTCAAATGGCTACTTCAAATACGTCCAAAGATTGATTATTGCAACAGCGATCGTGCGTGGCCTAGCGGTTAAGAGTCTCGTGTTTCAAGCAAGAGTCCGAGGTTCGAATCTCGATGAAATAAGTGACTGATTAATGAATAACCATAAAGGATGCAACTTTTGGCGCTTGATAAAAAGGTGGTGATCCAGTATGAATTTTTTTCCTAAGTGGGCCTTTATTAACCTTACACAGAATTAGTGGAAGTAAGCTTAAAGTATACTTCACAGGAACTCAGGGCAGAGTCAACCGATCAGGCAAGTCAGTCCAGTGATTGTGCGATCGCCTCAGCGGTCCGGCCCACCGTTACGGTGTTCAACAGACCACAAGCAATTCCACACAACTCAAAGTTCCACTCGCCTTCAACCGGTGATTCACAACTCCTCCCTTTTTGTTCCAACACTTATCCAAACCCACTAAATACCCGTATTCCCCCTACAATTCCATATAAATCTAAGATCACACAATTATCTTACATAATTAACCTGGGGATACCATTCCACTCAAATATTATTAGATAACACGCACTACACGTAACTTACCCGGAGCTACAACTCCCGAACCCGGCCGCACCAGAACGTCACCACCAGAGGGCTCCTATTCCCGACCGGGGGATTCGCAACAGCAACGGAAGACCCCAGCAACGGCACCGTGACTTGACTCGTCCCTGAACCCCGAAGCTTGGCTTCTTGCAACTTGGCAACATCACCAGAACGCGTTCCTACTGCATTGACGCCATCTTGCGAACTCCGCTAGATGATCTAAGACCCCACGCTATCAACCTCGACCCCAGGGTGTCGAGCAGTACGCGCCCATCACTACCTGCTCTCTCACCCTGGTATTGGATCATTTGCATGTGCAAGATTTTTGCACACGTATGCAAATGAGGAATAGTCTGGTGCCTGCTTGTGCGTTACATTTGCGTTTGTTTTTAAATGCGGTGTCTGGGGTAAAAGCAGAGGCAATTCGTAGCAGCGCGAGCATGGCGTGAGTTACGAAAAACACGATTTATTTAATTAAATTGTTACGATCCTACCGAGACAACATGTAGTATCACATTTCATATTAATATGAACAAATTGGGAAGGAAATGAGTATTTTCGAGAAGACGTGGACGAATAATCGCGAAAACACGTACTGCACGTTGTGAATAACCACACCAAGTACACGACAAAAATCCATTACTAGCCAATTGCCGTATCGAATCAGGATGCAGGAAGAAAGTTTCCTATCCAGGGTTTACTATTGGAAACTAGGTTGGAAATAAAGTAAGCACTGGGGACGAGGTTGCCACGCTATAGCATGCTAATTCGCGCACAGCCTTTCCAATACGCGATACTGATTGGTCAAATGCACGCCATGAATTATTAATGTCCTGATCACGCAGCACAATTCACTTCTAATTGGTCCATGCGCACTTCGGCATTTCAAACACGCACAAAATGCCCCAGATCACGCGCATAAACAATTTCTGACTTAGACTCCTACACAAGCCTGCATTACACTTGTACCCCTGTTTCGCCACAGTATTAAAGAAATAGCAAATTATAACTTCACATCTTTTTTTTCTCTCCTTTTTTTTCTCCATCTACTTATATTCATCTGAACAAAGCAAAACAATCCTCCCTCAAGGGACCAAACAAAAACAGAAAGAAACGTTAGACACATTCCTTACTAAATCAAAACAGGCAACGCCTAGGAAAGTTGGTCCTAGAGCGCATACAATTGTATTCAATCGAATCAGAATGACTATGTATACTTGAACTTGTTCAAGTATATTTCCTTCACCAATGGTCGAAGGGGCTGCATACTGTGACGGGAACCCCCCGGGCCAACCCAAGTCTGTCAGGATAAGTCTGACTCTTAGTGGGTTGAAGACAGTCTTCCCAAACCAAAGCTCTTCCCTAGACGAGAAATCACTCAGAGCCCCCTTCAAGGCTATTGGGTGCAAGTCCGTTTGGTGGATATCTGCCGCCCAATTGTAAATGATTGTTAATTATTAACCTCTGCTAATTAATTGCACAATAAACATGTACACATAAACACTGGAATCAAAATTGTCGGTAATCTCAAGCAACAATAATCATAATTTATTCAACAATAGTCAGGTACATTAATAAGGATGTAATTGAGAGGGTTGTTTTAATAACTAGGTCTTTCTTTACTTACTGGAGATAACCCGCTGCTCGCCTATGCAACAACGCTCACAGCATTAAGAACTAGACAAAAGTGGCAGCAATGAGCAACTATGCACATCGCCAATAATGCGTCGCTAAGTTGGAAATAACACAGCGCACAACAGCGACATAGATATGGGGACATATTCACGAGTCGGCCACTTTGAATTAATTGAAAATCTTCATTTTTGGAACTTGCGACGAGAAATGAAAGCAATGACATAAAGCGTGTTGGAAAATAATACCAGTCTGCTCTGATGAAGGATTAAATATTTGAGATTAAACATACCCTAATGTTTTAGGCAAGATTTTACAAAGAAATGCAAGTGAGGCTAGGCACCATCCCATTCAAAAGTTCACAATTTACAAAATACATAATACAACATATGATAGGGAATACGACAAAATGGTCTCTTTTATCTAAGGCCACACAAAAAAAGTCTCCGGTTTCTGGTATGGAGCTTGCCCAAAAATGGTGCGGCGACGCGGCTTTATTATTTTTTTTACCTGTTTTTTTTGCTTTAGATGTCGGCTGATGACTGCAAATGGTGCCCGACTAAACTTAGTGCAAATATTATGGGAGACCAGAGAGGCCACATAAAGTTTATTCTCGATCATAACCCCATCTAAAAACCCGTTAAAATTGTGCAGCAGCAGGATTCCAGTCAAACCAGTGAGTTTGGCGGTTTTGAGACATCATCTTTCATTGAAAACAAAACTTTTTCATTTTGCCGACGCGCATGGCTACGGCGACGCGCGCGCATACCAGAAACCGGAGACTTTTTTTGTTTTTGCCTTATATGGACTCTGCCTTTAACACGTGACACTGTAACGTTTTCTTATTGGTTGCAAGAGTCCAGTAGCTTACACCTGTACGTAACATCTTGCACGAGAGTGCTCGATTAGCCATAACGTAATCCTCGTGTCTTCCCCACTCAGGGGCGGATCTAGGAATTTTCTCAGGGAGGTTTTCATCGGCGAAAAAAATCTGAAATGTAAACAGGGTATTTTGCAATGGAGTTTAGGCACCGTTTTTCAAAATAGCGATAGGCTTAAAAAATTAAAAGAAAATGAAAGATGATGAAATTAGCTGTAATTTGAGGTGTGTCTCCGGATCACCTTGGAGAGTTAAGATTATTTTTCCTGAATTTCTGGAGTGGGGACATTTATCATTGGGATCTCTGGCAGTTTATTTACTGGTCTGGACCCCTAAGGCGCCTTTATGCCAGTGGCTTGACCACGTTGTAGCCGCGTCCTTCGCAATTCAGCTTCTCTGCTGCCAGTGAGGATGATAAGCCTCCCAAATTTGTAGTTCAATTAAAACACTTAGTTTGTCCAATTTCAAAAAAAAAAAGAATAAGAATGTCCAACGCAAAGGTGTAAATCCAGTTAACCAGGTGTGGAAGGGACATATCAAAATGTGCAGGTGGGTC